GTGGCTGCCTCTACTCCTGGAAGAAGACAGCAGGTAACTGAACAGTAGGCAGGGCTTATGGAGGATTTCTTAGAAGGTGGAACTTTCAGGGGCTGAGATTTCCAGTGGGATTGCTGGGATTTCAAGTCCTGAGCTTGGGGAAGTTCAGCTGTTGGGTTTTCTTGTTCAGGGATGGGTGGAGCTTTGGTAGGTTTCTGTAAGAAGGTCAGGGGTTGGTGGTTTTTCCTGTTCAGTGACTAATGGATTTTTGTTCAGACTTTTCACCTAAAATTAGCATACTCTGGGAAGGGTCATAATGAGGGGCTGGGGATGACCTTTGTGACAGTTACAGAGGCTGGAAGCATCAGAAAGGATATTGGGGCTCCTCAGGCAGGGCCTGGCCACTTCCCTGCCTTGAGGGCTTACTCAGTTTACCAGGTACACAGATGTTGCAAAGGGAGTCCACAGTAGGGAAGCCTTTCCCTACTGCTTAAGTTGGTCTGAGTAGCCAACCATCCAGAGCGAACACAATCCGCCTGAGCTGAGCCAGGTGAGAAGAGGGGAAGGGAGAGGGAAGAGAAGAGAACCAGGTACAGCACCCAAGAGGGCGAAGACACAAAAGAGGTGGGTGACCAAATAGTCGGATTGTGTAGGGAAGGAGAGGCCCCTGCCCTTCCTCCCACACACACCCCTGCCACCACCCCAGGCTGGAGAGCTCGGTAAGTGCGGGGTTTGCGAGCCAGGAGGACCCCGTAACAGGATGCTGGGAGAATCTGGAGGCCAGGTCTACTCGGCCATCTGCCCCGGGGTTTGAGACCTAACAACGCGCTGAGCACAAACCCCTCCTTAGTCATCAGGACACAAGAATAGGACTAGAGGAGCTGAGGAGCCAGCCAGCATTGACTCCACAGCAGACCCTGACCCAAGGGTTCCAGGGTAGAGGCGTCACCCGGCAGCAATCCCAAGACAAGGTCTCAAGCATCTCTCTGGGAGCGGAGCCCAGGAAACGCCAGCAGCGTCATCCCAGGCATAGTGGACACCCAGGGCTGCTTCCACGGGCAGCGTCTCTCGTCAGGCCTGGGTCCTGGCAGGGAGACGTGACCCTGACCATACATAGATAGTTGCAGGCACAATGAACGGTGTTTCTCCTTCCTTACCACCAACACAGGCACACATATTGCATACACACACGCACATGCACAGGCGCGGAGAAGTGTGTGTGTCCCCTCGACACATTCAGGGTCACTGGTGCACACAAGCTGTAGCAAATTGGCAGGAGTTCACACATACACCTGAGAATTCTTTATAGAGTGGGGTCTCTGACCAGCAGAGGGAGCCTCTGACACACAAATGGCAGGAATAGGGTCCCTCGTCTTAAAACTGTGTGTACGCATACCTAGTGACGTACACCTGTAATCTCAACATAGGAGGGAGCAGAGGCAAGAAATCCGGGAGTGGCCATAAAGATAGTTCCAGTCCAGCCGGGGCTACATGAAACGCTGACTCAAGGAAGGGGTGGGAGAAGAGATGTGGCCGAACTGTGTCCCCATCCCTCCCTTCCTCCTCTCATTTATTTACCTTCACAAGGTTCATGTACCGAGAGCTTGATGATCCTGTAAGACTCACGGTACTGGGGAAATTGAGGACCAGAGAGGAGCAGTCCGGTGCCCATGGCCACCTCTAGGAAAAGATTCTACCTAGATTGGATCTCACAAATATTGGCTCCCTAGACCAAAAGTGTGTGTGTGTGTGTGTGTGTGTGTGTGTGTGTGTGTGTCTGTATCTGTGTGTGCACGCACACACACACGTTTTCTCATGTTGCTGGAGGACGACAAGGTTGACTATGAGAGAACTGAGGTCTTGGAGAATGATGTGGCGACAATGTGGGAGTAACAGCACCACCGAAAGCCACACGGCCGTCCCGCACCGGCAGACGATCCTACAGCGTGCCATCAGGGGGCGCCCCAGATCAGGAAGTGACGGCGCCGCGGCCACAGTCTGCGAATTCAGTTTAGCAGATCCTCTAGGTACCGCTGCGCCCCCAAAGTTAGACAGAGACTGAGGGATCCAATCCGACGGGAAGCCTGAAGACCTTAGGATCTGAACCCAGACCCCAGGACGAGGATATTGACCGAGGGGCTTCCTTCTGGGCTCTCCGTTTCAGAGCCCGTTAACGGAGATAATCAGGAGTCATCTAAACTGGAACAGTGAGCGGCTCAAATGGGAGCATGTGGGAAGACAACCTAGCCAAGCAGCAAGAGACATTCACTCCATCTTGAGTTCAAGGCCAGCCTCGAGAAAGCAAGGACTGGGGACGTGCTCGGGGTAGAGTGCTTGCCTACCACCTCTGCCAAGCCCGGGAAGAACACACCAGAAGCAGTAGGTCTCATCTGAATCTCCTCACATCAGCCCTTCCTCATGGGTGTGTGTGCACTCCAGTGCGCTCACAAATGTAAGCACACGCAGACGTGCTCACATACTGGGGCGCTCGCAGTCTGGCTTGGGGAGTGGTTTGTTGTTCCTTGCAATGCAGGGATCAAACTCAAGCGCTCAGAAATACGTTAGGTCATGTGCGGTGCTCCACCCCTGAGCTCATCCCCACCCCTAACCCTTAGCTCTTTCTTTACTTTTTTTTTTTTTTTTCTCCTTCTTCAGTCCTGGATGTCTTGGAGCTCCCTGTCAAGCTGGCCTTGACCTCAGAGAGACCCTTCTGACTCTGACTCCGGAGTGCTTGGATTAGAGAAGATATGTGCCACCAAGCCCAGCTCACTAAATCTTTAGATGCTATCTAAATGCTAGACTTCCAAAATGTGTCTCCCCGGCTGGAATCCACACTCAAGTTCAACAACCATGAACAGGGTTGAGCTCAGCGGTTGAGAGTTTGCCTAACGCACATTGGGTCCTAGATTTGAGTTCCACCACACACACACTCCTTCTGTCTGTTTCACATTTCAGCCTCCTGATCTCACCAATGCCGTCTCCTTCACTCTGTACCCCATGTCAGCCTTTGGCAAGAGCTCGGGCCCAAATCTAGAGTCCTCCCCTTCTACCTGCCGGGACTTCCTTGGCATGGTTCTTACCTGGAATCCTCTCAGCCCCATCATGGTTCAGCCACCGTGAGGACCGATACCGTCACCCAAATCCTTTTGCCTCGTAAAGTCTCTGTTAAACACAGCAGCTGACAAATTGTATTCCATCTCTGTTCAGACTCCTCCATGGCTCCCCTTTCTTAACTCACAAAAGAAGTTAACATCTGTCCAGTGTCCTCCTGTGCAGTTAGTGGGTTTGCTGGTTTCTTTACCATTGCCATCATCTTGCCCTCTACATGTCACATTTGCAAATGCCCAAAGTAGGCATATTAATTTTGTTCATATCACCATTGCCCCAACCTTAATATTTTGCGTGTCAGCAGTTCCTCCAGAGCCTGGCTCCCTCTGCCAGACCTGGGCACCTCCTTTACTTCGTTCCCCCTATGTCTCCACAGCTAGCTAACGACCCCCGAGCCAGAGCCTTCCTGCCTAAACCTAATTTCCATTGTTTCCAGGACCCTGACCCACAGTACACCCCCACAGCCCTGTTCATGAGAAGCCTGCTCTAACCGAGCCTCCCCTGTCCCTCTTCACACCCTCCACGACCCCCTGTTGCTGTTTGCTCTCTGGCCACTGCCCTTCCTCCATTCTGCTCCCACCACCCAGATGCAAACACAGTTAATGTAGTAATAAGATTCAGACGAGACCTAACGCTGTGTGTGCGCGTTTCCCGGGCTGGGCAGAGAGCTCCCTACCCTGAGCACCTCCCCAGTCCTCGCTTTCTGGAGGCTGGCCGAAGCCGGCCGTGAACTCGAGATGGGGTGAAAGTCTCTTGCCGCTTGGTTCGGTTGTCTTCCCACGTGCTCCCATGTACTCCACTCACTGCTCCACAGTTTAGATGATATCTCATTTAACAGACCCCTCTTCCTCGACCCAGGCCTTTGCTGACCTTATTCCTCTGCCTGAGATGCTCTTCCCTCCGCACCATCCACTCAATTCTGCTCTTACTTCAGTATCAGACTTCCCCTGACCCTCCACTCCCCAGAATCCTGGGTCCCGTGTTTGAAGCACATGTCATAGACTGTAAATAACCATTCTCGGGTATAATTGTTCAACATCTGCCCCTCCCTGATGAGGGTAGGAACTGGATGGATCTGTGCCCCTGGTCCCATGCCAGTCGACACTGAAATAATAGGCACGCTATTTACCAAATAAACAGTGCACAAACTGTCCCCAAAAATCCGAGTTTACTTCCAGAACAAACAACTTGGCCCCAGTTGCTTCCCAACTGCCGAAGGCCCACCTCCCCACCTCCAGATCTGGGATGATGGGAGAAGGAGGAAGGTGTCTGTATCCTCTTGCCTTTACTCTCACTCTTGAAATTGAGAAAACTCCAGCAAAGGGACGGTGACTAAGGAGGGAAGGGCTTTCAAGAGTCCAGGTTCACAAAACAACGAAGTAAACAGCCTAAATCCTGACCCTCGGCTTGAACAGTCCTACGTATCTGTGGGTCTCGGAAAGGTAATGTTGAAAATTCAGGGCTGCAACCTCAGGCTCCAGCTTCTAAATCCTCAGTTTAGAAGCTAAGGATCCAATCCCAGCAAAGAGCCTGTGGAGGTTTCTACCGGCTGGGCCTAGGAACCCGAATCCTCAGGGGCAGGGCAATCTTTTTTTATCTTGGGGGCGTGGCCCAGGCACGACTGGGCGGGGCCTAGCATGATTCCCTTACACAGAAGGGCAGGTGAGGGTAGTTCAAAGCATGACTTTGACCTCAAGGGGTGGAATCAGGCACTAGAGGGTGGGGCCTTGTCCTGAGGGGCGAAGTTAGCACCAACAAGATGCCCCTCCAAAAGCTTCGTCCTCCCGTACTTTCTTTCGAGTAGCATGGTCTACGCCCTCAATATCTTGGAGGCGGATCCAGGCCTTTGGCGGCGTGGTCTCGGCCTGGGTGGGCGGAGCCTGAACCCCGGGATCCACGGAGCTCCGGCTCGTTCAGGCCCGAGGAGGTAGCGGCTCCACGTTGAGCCAAATGCCGTTCTCCGTGCGCAGAATGAGCTCCGGCTTCCGCCGCACCTTGCGGGTGCGGTCCACACTCAGACGGAAGCGTAGCAGTGTCAGCGCCACGACCACTCGCATCTCTGCCATGGCGAAGCTCTGCCCGATGCAGTTCCTACAGGAAGGGAAGCAAGAACCCTTAGGACATGCCACCCCGGAGGGAAACGTTCAAATCCCTTTTCTGTAGAACCGGAACGAGGACGGCATCACAGAGCTATGGGAAGCATGTGAGCCCAGAACCGGGGGTCTGACATGCACTACCTTGTTCTCGAGGACAGAACTGCTGTCTGATTCCGAACCTCTTGGTTCAGTCGAGGATGCAGAGGGGACTTGAGTTTCCAAAGATGACTCCTGGGTGAGGCTTGGTCTCCGCTTCCTTGGGGCACACCCCCTGACCTGCCCCTGGCCCTACCCCTTCATTTGTAGTGATGTCTGGGCTTAGAAAAGGCCTTACCTGGGACCTGCTGAGAAAGGCACGAAGGCCAGTGGGGAGCGCTGCTGTGGGGTGTCCGGGTCAAAGCGGTAAGGATTGTACTCCTAGGCAGGAATTGTCTGGGTGAGTGAGGACTGGCCCAACCACCCAGCTCGGCCACCCAGCAGCTCCACCTTTGAGGACCCCTATGGGAGGAATACCTCGGGGGCATCTGTTCTAATGTCTCCTCAGCCTGGAACAGGCCTCTCCCTGTTCTTCAGACTGGGTCTCAGCCCAAACATTACCTTATCTTCAAGACCTCTCCTGTTCCCCTGAGCTTAATGCCCCCAAACCCCCCCCCCCGCCGCCCATCTGTTTTCACTTCCTTAGAACAATGCCCAAAATGATCTTATCTATTGACTTCACTTCGAGGTCCATGAGGGCAAAGGCCTCATCACAGGTTATCACTGTTGAGCGCCGAGTGTGGCTCGCAGTAGGAGCTCAGTGACTATTTGTTGACCTTATGCATTAGCACGGGCTAATGCTAAGGGTGAGTCAGTGGGTCAGTTCCTCCAAGCAGCCCTGAGAAAGAGCCGTGGCCACTGGACACAAGCAGGAGCTTACCTTAGAGTCAGGCCACACTGTGGGGTTGTGGTGGGTCCCATAGATGCTGACCAAGCAGATAATTCCTGGGGGAACATTTGGAATAACTGGGGGACAAGGGAGTCTCTGGAAGCACGCATGCGCGCACACACACACACACCCCACCTCAGCTTTTCCTCCAATCATGAGATGGATTCTTGTGAGCCAGCTACCACCACTTCCTGTCCACCCTTCGCTGAAAACATTTACTGCCCTGTCTGCTCTCTCTGCTTCTCTCTAGCAGTTTTCCATCAGCATCCTATTCACAAGGTATGGCATTTCTGCTCAAGGTATGTCCTTGCCTCGTCTACCTCCCTTGGCTTCCTTATTCCCTCTGGATAGTCAGGTGCCTGTACTTGGCATCCAAGGCCATTCACCATCTGTACCCTGAGGTTCTGCTCCACAACCACGCTTGCTCTTACATCTTGGAGACTGGCCTTCCACATGGACAGGAATGTGTGGGGCCTACTGACTCTCCCCAGGGACTGGTGGTGCTCAGGCCTGACCTCCCAGCATCACCCCAAATACGGCTTGGTTCTCAGGGAATAGATAGCAAATAAATGAAACTGACCCTCAGGGCTAGAAAAAAAAAATTCTCAGCATGTGAAAGTACTTGCTGTGAAACCCTGAGGACCATGATTCAAGCCTTAGAACTCATGGTAGAAGAGAATTAACTGCTGAAAACTGTCTTCTGACCTCCCCATGTGCACGCACACACACACACACACACACACACCACCGTCTTCATCATCACAGTAATATTTCTGGAAGGAAACTGACCCTCCACGATCAGTGCCTACCCACATCTACCCTGCCTCACCCACTCCTTCCTTTCCATCTGGACACAAACATCTCTATCTCCTCCCTGGTCTCCCTTTGACGATTAAGTTTGTCAACTTGATACAATCTAGAGTCACCTGAAAAGGGGTCTTCGTGGGGGATTGCCTTGATTAGGTCTGTAGGCATGCCAGTATGCACTTGTTTATTTTTATTTTGTATGTACTCGTGTGTGTGTGTGTGTGTGTGTGTGTGTGTGTGTGTGTGTAAGAGAGAGAGTGTGACACACGTGTGTGATTGCCCATGGAGGCCAGAAGTAGGTGTCAAAATCCCCGGTGCTGAAGTTATAGGTGGTTGTGAGCTGCCCGACAAGGTGCTTGGAACAAACTAAGGTTCTCTGGGGGACTAGCAAGTGCTTTTGTTTTTTGTTTTTAGGTTTATTTATTTTTGTGACTGTGAGTATTCCGCCTGCGTGGATGTATGTACGCCACATGCATGTCTAGTGTCCACAGAGTTAAGGGTGTTCGATCCCCGGAACTGGAGTTACAGATGGTTGTGAGCCGCCACAGGGGTGCTGAGAGCCAGTGCTCCTAAAGTGCTCAGCCCTCTCTCCAGCCCCGCAAACATTTTTCTTAATTACTTAAGGTGGGGAGACACACTGAGAGTGGGTGGGACCATTTCATAGGCTAGGACCTGGACAGGAAGAGAGGGAGGGAGAGAGAGAATTGAACACAGGAATGCACGTAGTCATTGCTCTTTGTTCTTGTCTGTGGCTGCAATACGACTAACTACTTCAGGTCCCTGTCATCATGACTCCTCCGTCATGACAGACTACAACCAGGAATCATGAACCAAAGAAACACTTTACCCCTAAAGCTGCTTTTGTCGGGTTATATTATCACGTCAACAGGAAATGAAACTAGACCCCCTCATCACTCTAAAGGCAACACACACACGGTGATCCACCCCATCAATCACAGAGACCCTCCCCATCATAGGGACCCTGAGCCCACAGCAGGCACGGTCCAGCCACTGTGAACAGTGCCGCAGCAGCATAGGGGACAGAGAGGCACCTTTGGGAATAATGCGCCCATCTGGCAGCTTGATGTCCTCAGTGCAGCGACGGGAAATGAGGGTCACAGGTGGAAACTGGCGAAGGCTTTCCTTAATACACATGGTGGTGAACGGCAACTGGGTCAGGTCGTCCCTGAAAAGAAAGGAACTGTGACCCCCCCCCGAACACATGCGCGCGCACACACACACACACACACACACAGGAATGTCTGTGGAGGACCAGTTCAAAGATCCGGAATGGCTCCACAGCTTCACATGTGTGGCAGGCCAGGAGAGAAGGAAGATATTCTAAAGAGACACTGTACCTCCTCATTCTGACTATCAGACCACTGAAGCAATGGAGCACAAGAACCCAGAACCTCCCCCCACCACACACACAACAGGGATCTAGTTCTGGGAGAAGAAAAAATGTAAAAGCTAGGTCACCCAGAATGGAAACTTCCCTCCCAGAGACAGACTTACAGCTTGCTAGACGGGTTTACACAACAAATGATGGACCGTGCCTTGCCAGGGACTACTTAGTCTCAGGAAAGTCTCACTGTTACTCTTTATCATCCTCCCACCACTTCCCAATATGGACACACCGAACAGATTTCCTTAGCAATTTGGCTAATGGAGAATACTCTACTAAACCTGGTTTGTTGCAAGCACAGGCTACAACCTCAAGCCCCATAAAAACTCTTAGGATGCAAAATATCTGACCACTAGCCAAGCCTGTACTCCAGTTGTTTGGGAGGCTATTCTAGAGAGAGTTCAAAGTTGGAGCAACTTAGTGAGTGAGAGGGACCCCGTCCTGAAACAAAAAACCAGAAGAGAGCGGCAAGATGGCCCAGGGAGTTAAAGAGCTTGCTGCCAAGACTGACAGTCTGGGTTCAGTCTCCGGGGAAGGAGAGAACCCACTTCTGCAGATTGTCCTCTAACTCCACATGCATGCAGTGCACACACACTCTCGTGCACGCACACACACATGCACACACTCACGATAAATAAATAAATGTAATAGAAACAAAAAAAGGAAAAAGTGCCTGGGGATATAGTTAAAAAATAGTCCAATTGGTTGGTCTGTGTGAGGTTCCTAGGTTCAGACGAAACTATCTGACCATCTGACAATCACAATAGTGACAAGTGAAAGCAGCCAACGACAGGCCTGCTTGCCGGAGCTGCTGTCGCTGCTGTCGGGCCCGCTGCCGGGCCCAACATTAACCACTAATGCACTGTTGTGAAACCATGGGAGGGGTCAGGGCAACTGGGAGCCTGAAGCCACAGCAAGTTTATATGTATCCATTCCAGATTTCATTTGTTGCATTTTGTTTTTATGTTTTATTACAGATTTCAGAATAGTGTAATGTACTCAGGAGCCCAAACTGGACTAACTATAACTATTAGTTCATGATCTAGTTCATTTTTTTTTTTTAATCAAGACTTTTTTAGTGTGTGTGTGTTCTGAGACAAGGTTTCACCATGTAGCCCAGGCTGGTCTGGTTCTTGCAGCTATCCTCCTGCCGTAGGCATCAGGATCCCGGCTGGGATTACAGTTGTGCACCATCACAGCTAGCTCTAACAGGTTGGGTTTGGGCTATCCATCACATGTATGCAGGTGCCCATGGGGGCCAGAATCGGGCATCAGATACCCTGGAGCTGGAGTTACAAGCCATGGTGGGCTGCCCAATGTGGGTGCTGGGGTTGGAATTTGGGAGAGCAAGCATCTTTAACCACTACACCATCTCTCCAGCTCCCAGAGAACTTTATGTTTCTATCAGAAAGAACCAAAGAACATCCTTGTCACAATGCTATCCATAGATGCAAACTCAAGCAAGGAAACGGAAGAGCAGGAAGGTCGTGGCTGGTGGTATCACCTGCCGGACTCCCTTGTCAGACCCTCTGCCATCTCCCTTTGGTGTGAGGGCGGAGTCGCAGGATGTTAAGGGCACTGTGGTACCAACTGAGAGTCTCCCTGAGGGCACACACAGAAGGCTGGAGAGGTGGAAGGACCTTCTTACTGCCCTACTTAACTGAGGTCAACTGGAAGCAATATGTGCTTCAGAGGAAGTGATTCCCACTTCTCCCTGATACAAGCCAGCATGGAGCTCACTAGGTAGCCCAGACTGGTCTTAAACTTCGATTCCTCCTGTCTCAGCCTCCCCAGTGCTGTGATAATAGGTGTATATCACCGTGTGTGTGTGTGTGTGTGTGTGTGTGTGTGTGTGTGTGTGTATGTGCACGCGCGCATATGTACCTGTGGAGGCCAGAGGACCTCCAATGTCATTCCTCGGGCACCATGCATTATCTACTGTTTTTTGTTTGTTTGTTTGTTTTGTTTTGTTTTGTTTTGTTTTTGACAAGGTCTCTTATTGGCCTAGAAGTCCCTGATTAGGCTAGACCAGCTGGCCAGTGAACCCGGGGCTCGGCCTGTCTGGCTCCGAAGAATTGGGATTATGAGAGTGCCACCATATTCAACTGTGGTGGTTTGAATAAGAATGGAGCCTACAGGATCATATATTTCAGTGCTTCATCCTCGGGGAGTGGCACTACTTGAAAGAATTAGGAGGTGTGACCTTGTTGGAGGAAGTGTGTCACTGATGATGGATAGGTTTTGAAGTTTCAGGGGCCCAAACCAGGCCCCTGGCCCTGTCGTTGGCTGCCTAAAGATCCAAGCCTACAACTCTTAGCTCCTTCTCCAGCACCATGACTGCCTGCCATGCTTCCCACCATGAGGAAAATGGACTAAACCTCTCAAACTGTAAAAAAGCCCCAGTTAAATGCCTTCTTTCATAAAAGTTGCCATGGCCATGGTGTCTCTTCACAGCAATAGAGCACTGACTAAGACATCAGCTTTTGTTTTAAGCATGGATTTTCTTTCATGTTTGCAAGGCAAGCATTTTGCCAACTGAGGCATCTCCTAGACCTTTTTTTGGGAATACTGGTACAAATAGTCCAAGCGTGCCTCAAATTCAATATATAGGCAAAGCTGGCCTTGAACTCCTGACCCTCATGTTTCAGCCTTTCAAAAACTGAGATGGCAGGTGTGTCACCATGCCTGGCTCCTGCTGTGCTTTCTGCATCACTCAAAGTCAGCTTACATATTAAAACTGTCTTCCTGCTCGCTAGTGTGCACTTCCTCTCTGCATTATAATCACCCTGGCATGCTATTTCCTCCAGACTGAAACCTTCCATCCCAAAGGGTGATGTGTCTACAAGTCTTATTTACAGGACTGTAGGCCCTTTCTGCCCCACTCATGTTGACCCTCACCACGTGACTTGCCTCTTCCAGCAATGTTTCAATGCACACAGAACCTTTTTACACTTCTGGAATCTACCTTGAGAAGTGCATGCCACAGAGTAACCCTAGATCCTAGGAGAGGTGGGAGACATCTGGAAAAGGCTTGAACACAGCCAACGGTTTGGAAGCAGCCCCCCTCCACTCAGCTGAGCCCAGGAGCCACAAAAATCATGTGCGGGTAAAAGCTATAACTAAATGCTTGCCACAAGCCACTGAATTCGAGGGAAGTTCTTATTATGTGGTGGGACCACAGCAGTGCTGATGAAGTTGTTCTGAGAACTGCTGAACTGGGGCCAGACCTCACAATCATTCCCATGTCATGAACTGGAATTCTGAAGGCTTGAGGGACTTGTCTAAGACCTCACAATCAGAAAGTGGTAGAGCAGAGAGTCCCATCTAAGAATCTAGCCTCGGCTTTCTCCCTTCAATCCACCTGACCCTACAAACTGACCAGTCCAGCTCTTCCAGCTCTCGGCCTTTCATCACTTCTTGGATCTCTTCCCGGCACTTCTCCTGGTACTCTGGATGCTTCGCCAAGTTGAACAGCGCCCACGACAGCCCACTAGATGTTGTGTCATGACCTGTGGCAGATTACAGTGTCTCCCAGGAGGGCCCCCACAGCAGGAGGACAGCAGTCCTTCTTCCCACCCACTCTCCGCCTCACTTGGCTTACCTTCAAACATGAAAGTATCCGCCTCAGCCCGGATGTCCTCATCAGATAATTCTTTTCCATCTTCATCCTGAAATGGACAGTGAAGGACGCTGAGCCCACTTCACTCCACTTCCTACGTTCTAGGGGCTCCCCAAAGTCAGACACACTTATTTCCCCGTCGGCATTTTCTCTCTTCCTCCCTCTCTTCCTATTTTTCCTTTTTCCATTTATTTATTTACTGCGTGCACACACTTATTTAGTGCATGTAGGTGGTACACACGCGCACACGTGAGACTCACAAGACAACCTGCTAGAGTGTTCTTCTCCCTCAGGCACGCCAGTGCCGGGACTGAACTCAGCTTGTCAGGCTCCGCAGCGAGCATCTTTACCTGCTTGGCCATGTGCTCAGCTTGCCCTTTCACCCGACTCTCTCAGGGACCCCACACGGAGCCCGGACTAGTCTCAAACATGAGGTCTTCCCACCCGTCTCCAAAAGCTGTTTCAGCCTCCAAGTTCTGGGATGATGTGTCACCACCCCCAACTATTCTGAGTTACCTGACGATGACAAGTCTACACAAGGACCACCATCATATTTACACACACAGTTCATTGTTCCGTGCCATAAGCCTGCATTCGCTGTACAGCTCCTGACAACCGTTCATCCTGCCGGATAGCCAAAGACCTTGTCATCAGGTCTTATCAGCCCCAAGATGCAAGAGCCAGGGACCGTGATCTCAATCGAATATCCCCTAAGTGGCGGAGCCAGGGCTGGAATCCAGAACTGTATCAAAAATTCTACACAAGAATGTGAGTGGCTGTGTGCACTCCCCAGTGCCCAGAGGCAAGCAGAGCTCTATTGCTGGCTGAACAAGCAAGCTAGATGAGATGGCCAGATTCCAGTCCTCTGAGAGAAGCTGTCTCAAGGCAATAAGTCAGAATGCAAAAGAGGAAAACGCCAAACTTCCTGCTCTGGCTGCCAATACAAGTGTGTCGATATCAGCACCCACACCCGCACACTTACACACACCATACAAACAAATTCGGGGAGGAATGAGCTGAGGCTGAATACTAGAGCATTTGCCTAGTGTCCTTTAGGTCTTGGGTTCAATTTTCAGAACTCCAAGATGATAAAAATGAGAGTATTTCGGCCGGAAGTTTGCTCAGTGGTTACATGCACTTGCTCCTGCTCTTCTCTCGGACCCTAGTTCAGTTCCTAGCATCTGTGCGAGGCGGCTTCCAACTATCTGTAACTCTGGGGTAGCTACGGCCCTCCTCTGAGGACAACCCAGAGTTGGAGGTCCTTTCAGCAGTGGGTGCAATTCCCGCGCCGGCCTCTAGGGGCAGGAGCCCGCTCCCAGCAAGCCTCACCTTGGCCAGCAGCAGCACGTCAATGAAGTCCAAGGTCTTGCCTTGCTTGGCCTTCAGCCACGCCTCGGCGCCCTGCTCGCGCAGCGCTCGCCGCCGCTCCTGGATGACTTCGGTGGTGAAGTTGTGCACCGTGTCGCAGGCCTGGCGGAAGCGCCGCCCGTCGGCCGTGAGGTAGTAGTAGATGAAATCCACGTAGTGATGCAGGCGGTATTGGCGCCGCACCACCAGAGCGCTCAGCTCGATAATGGAAGAGATGTAATCGCTCATTCTCCTGCGCAGAGAAGGGCAGTGAGTCACCAGCGCTGCCCAGAGACACACACGGGGCCCAGCCTCCGTTACAAAAAGACCGAGGACGGTATTAACCGTATTTTGTTATTTATTTAAATGATTTTTATGTTATGTGCGTGAGGGTTTACCCAGTCTACGTCTGGGCACCCACCGCCTGGATGCAATGCCTGAAGAGACCAAAAGAAAGTCTGGAGTTACAGATGATTGTGAGCTGCCCTATGGCTGTCTGGAACTCTCTCTCTCTCTCTCTCTCTCTCTCTCTCTCTCTCTCTCTCTGTGTGTGTGTGTGTGTGTGTGTGTGTGTGTGTGTGTGTGTGTGTGTTGCTGGAGATGAAATGTAAGGCTTTGCATATGATAGGTAAGCACTTTACCAACTGAGCTATATCACCAGCCTTTTTTTTTTTTTTTTTTTTTGAGACAGGGTTTCATGTTGCCCAGGATGGACTCAAATTCACTATGTAGCCAAGAATGACCTGAACCTCTGATTTTCCAGCCTTCGCCCACCCACCAAGTACTTGGATTACAGGCATATTCCACCACACGTGGCTTGTTTTATTTAAAGGATTTTGCCTTATCATTGTTTATTTTTATGTATTTTGCGTGCATGAGTGCTTAGAACCAAATTCTGGCCCCCTGCAACAGCGTCATGTGCTTGTCACGCTGGATCACTTCTTCAGCCTGGTACCCGCCTTATTCTATTCTATTGCATGAGACTAGAGATGGAGTGGAGGGTCTTGTGCAGGAGAGACAGCCTACTTCAGAGCTGCTCAGCCAGCCCCAGACCAAACACCAACCCGAATCCTTGTTTCACGAATTCAGCCAACAAATAGTCACCGAATGCTTTTTACATGCCCAGGAAGCTGCCACATCATTTACCCTTAGATCATTTCTCAAAGCCATCATTTTCATCTTTGCCTAACAAAGAAATGAGGTTTGTGGCTCCCTCCTGTGATCCCCACACTCAGGAGGTGGAATTGGGCAGATCAAGAGGTCAGCCTGGGTACAGTGTCAAAGCCTGCGTCAGAAAGCAAGTGGGTGGGGCAGAGGCATGCCTCAGCAGTTAGGAGCCCTGCTCTCCCAGGGGACTGGAGTTTGATGCCCAGCACCCATGCTGGGCAGCTCGAAGCTGCCTGTAAATCCAGCTCCAGGGCATCCAATACCTCCAGGCTCTCTGGGCGCCTGAACTCATGTGCACATACCTACCCATGGACACACAGGTATAATGTTTAAAGATAAAGGAAATTTTTTCATATATATTTTTAAGGAAGGAAAGGAAGTGGGGACAAGGAAGCAGAAGGCGGAGGTAAGGATGAAGAAAAATAACAATACAGGAAGGAGATAAAAAGAGGGAGTAAGAGTGGAGAAAGGGGAGAAAAGGAGGAGAGGAAATAGGAGGGAGAACTGTGAAATGAACGAGGTGGACATTTCCAGGCTGCGCCTCTTTGTGGCACAGTGAGGGAAAGCAGTGTTGCCTGAGCATCTAAGTGTCGAGATACTAGCTGACATCCTTTCACTTACTTAATTGTGTACTTACTTGTTTTTTTATTTTGATTTTTGCTTGCTTGCTTGCTTGCTTGCTTGCTTGCTTGCTTGCTTTTGAAACAGGTTCTTACGAGGTGGCCTAAGCAGCCCTAGAGCTCACCATGCAATCTGTCTGTCTCTGACTCCAAAGTACGAAGATCAAAGGCATGTGCCACCACGCTGTGCAGAGTTTTCGAGACAGGCTTGACTCAAACTCAGGATCCTCTTGCCTAACCCAACCTCTCAAATGCTAGGATTATGGATCCAGGCATGGACTACCACACCCAGGCAAAATCTTACTTAATCCTTTTCCTCAGAGAACTGAAGCTGAGAGAGGTGCTGTCACCTTGAGGGCCACTCAGGAAGAGAAAGAAAGAAAAACAAGGCTAAGGGTGCATGGCCCTGGCTTGTATCACAGCAGGGATGGTCACTCTCTCCTCCCACTCCCACCCACCCTGGGGGCCACACTCACTCCTGGCAGTCGCTGTTGTAACTGAACACACATTTCTGAAGGCTGTCCAGGGTCATGAGGCTGATGTGTTCAAACATGTCAAAGGAGGCCACTGAGCCACCTGCCAGATGCCGCCGCCATTTAGCCTGGAAGGGAGACACAGGGCATGAAGACCACAAACCACAAACTGGTCAGACAGCAACCAGGCAGGACGTCACTGCCGATCTAGTTCACAAAGGACACTGCCCCCTCTACTTGGAGGCCTCCCGGGGTAAGGCCAACCTCTTCCCATCACTCAGTCTTAGCACTCACGTGCATAATGTTCGTGGACTGGTTGAAGATCTTCATGTAGGGTTTCAGGATATCAAAGTGGAATGCAGGCGTGAGCAGGCGGCGGTGCCGGCTCCATTTGTTCCCTTTGCTGATCAAAAGTCCATCCCCTGAACCCAGAAAACCAAGGCTAGGAGCCTATCCCCGTGGAAGCCCTCCAAGGAGGCCCATACCCTTTCCTCATTTCCCTGTGTAAAAGATAAACACTATGGCTCCACTTTCACTATGAAGTGTGTTCGGAGCCGCTGGAGAACCACAGAGAAGGAGGAAGCACCAGGCTGACTTCCCCAGCTGCTAGCTGGGACCTGCTCTACCTGATCTCAGTTCATCCTAAGACTGAAAAGTTATCGGGAGTCTAAGCCCGCGTATCAGAAATGGAGGGAATACAGCAGATAGGGCTTTTGTCCTGAACTAACGGGATAGGAGTCTGGGGAGAGGACAATGCCAGATACCAGAAGGATAGTGCTTCCTGAAGAACCCGCCCGATGAGAAATCCAAGGGGCAGAGAAATGTTAGACATATAAAAGCCAGTTTGGGATCAAATGGTGGGGGGCACCCATTTCATCTTTTCCCTAGGCTAACATCCAGCTTTGCAAACTTGTAAAATAAACTGGTTTGCTCTCACTACTTCAAGTCTCCAGCACTCTTAGTAAGTGGGGGGTCATTGTTTCTCACCCCGGAAACTCCAGCTTCACCCTCTCCTTCAGCACTCACCTAACCAAGGCTTCAGGAAGCTATAGAAAAACTCATCCTTGGGTGCAATGGCAGCTGTGGAGAGAGAAAAGCCAATGATGATTACAGACAGAGTTCTGGCCCATGACCTCTACTTTTGAGGACCTCTTCTCTGGGCATCTCACCTCATCTCATCTCCCCCGCCCCTTCATATCTATCCCTTGAGAAATTTTCTAGCATGCTGATCTGAACTTGAGTCTCTCCTGTTCAAATACTTCCAGTGGCTCCCCACTGCTCTTGTAAAAGAGCTTTGGAGTTGGGCCTGGTGTTTTAGAGTCTGTCAGGTGGATCAGTGTAAATTTCAGGACAGCATCAATTATATACCTCGTGAGTTCCAGGCCAACATGCGTTGCTGTGTATTAATAGCTGTTCTTGAGAAAAACAAACAAACAAACTTGTGCCTGCAAGACAGCTCTTTGTGAAAGAGTGCTTCCTACCAAACCTGATGCCCTGAGCTTAATACCTGGAATTAAGAAGGAAGGAGGAGAAAACTGACTTCAACAAGTTGGTCTCCAGCATACATGATGTGGTACATACTCAGGCCAACTAGCACACACACACATCACATTAATAAACATAAAAGAAAACATATCTCCAGCAATACAATTATCTATATCTATCTATCTATCTATCTATCTATCTATCTATCTATCTATCTATGTTTGTATCTGTAGGCACACACATGCCCTGGCACTTGTATAGAGGTTGTCGTATAGAGGTTGTAGGAGCCAGTACTCCCCTTCCCTCTGGATTACAGAGATTAAATTCAGTTTGTCAGGCTTGCCAACAATCTCCTTGACCTGCTGAGCCACCTCATTGGCACTGAATGCTGGACTTTCTCGTATTAAAAAAAAAATTAAAATTAAAAAATCAAATCAAAGGAATCCACTCTCAGCCTACCACTGATGGCTCTGCCTCATCCAGTCCCTGCTGGCCCCTTCCACTCATCCCTTCAACAATCTCACAGCACACCCATCACTCATGCAGCCAGGCTGTGTTCCCTAGGAAGGAGGACAGCCATACCCTTCCTGCTCTTTGCAGTCAGCTCTGGCCATCTGAATCACAGCTGGAATCAGCCTCTGCCTCCTAGTCTGTCTGTCTGCTATGCTGGCCCCAAGGGGATGTAATCTGTCAGCGTTGACTTGTCACCTGCTTGTCACCCACCAGTACCATGACAGGGTGCTGAATTCTGTGCACAGTATGGGACGCCATGACAGCACCATGACAAAGCCAGCAGTGACCAGCTGGCCCATTTGCTTCAAATTCACAGCTCCACCCTCTGGGCCATAGCTACTCTGTCACACAGGACCAAAAGCACAGAGCCTCTCTGCTTCTAAACCATGCCAGGCACCCCTGGTTGTCAGGGAGCATGCCTATGTTCCCCAAAGCCCATATGCCGGGGCGGAAGTTTGAAGAGTGCTTGGGGCACATAGTGAAACCCTTTCTGATTAAACCAAAAGCCAGTTGGTAAAGCACCTACCTTGCAAACACAAGGGCCCAAGTTTGGTCCCCAGAGCCCATATTTAAACAATAACCACAAAGTCAATGAGATCGTGAGTAGGCCATGAGGTAACTCAGTGGGTAAAGGTGCTTATGGCCAAAGCTGACCATCTAGAGAGTTCCCATCTCAGGTGCCACAAGGTGGAGAGAGCCAATCCCTGTGGCTTGGTCTTGACCTCCTGGCATGGGCTGTGGCACTAGAGTGCCTCCACTGCTCTCCCCACATACTAAATAAAACAAGCTATTTATTTTTTAAACTGTACTTATTAACTAAATGTCTGGGCTGGGGTTCATGGGCCAGCCAGCTTTGCCTACTTGGCAAGCTCCAGGACAAAAAATAAGGCCAACAGAACCTGAGGAATGACAGCTGAGGTGGTCCTCAGGCCTACACACACACACACACACACACACACACACACACACACACACACACACCAAAAGCTGGATATTGCCCAAGTCACAAGTTAGAGAAGCAGAAAGGCCCTACTCTCCTTTTCTAAGTCTCAAAGTTTTCTGGCTGGATTTAGCTACCATAATGGCCAGGGAGCTCCAGGGCAACCAACATGGCAGCTTTGGCTGAGACTGCACAAATGAGGCAGGTCACAAAGAGGCTTTCAGCAGTTCTTCAAGGGAAGAGACTCCAGGGTGCCCTGCACGAACTGGATGTAAGGGTGCGGTTCTTGCTACTGATGGCTTTGGTGTTATATTGCTGTTTGCTTTTGAGAAATGGCAAATCATGGGCTTTGCAATAGAATCTAGGAAGGAACCCCATGGTGCTGTGGGACACCATGCCCCTAAGAACTCAAAGAGGGGGGGCTATTTGGCACTATGAGGTCCCAAAGATCAGGTATGAATCCTAGATCTTTGTAGATGATGTTGTAAAGACTGCTAACAGAGGCAAAGGGAGAAATCAAAGCTGATGCTCTGTGTTGGGCTTGATGGCACATGTCTACAATCCCAGGAGAGGCAGGAAGTTCAGAAGTTCAAGATCATCCTGGGCTACATAGTGAGTTCAAAGCCAGCCTGAGACACGTGAGACTCTGCCTCAAAAAAAAAAAACAAAACTTTTTATTCAGTGAATGAATGGATGAAAGGATGGATAGATGAAAGGAAAAATAGGAACTGGAAAAATGGCCCTAAGGGTAAGAGCACTTGTACAAGCATGAGGCCCGAGTGTCAGAAAAAAGTCAGGGACCAGTGAGGAGGATCACTGGGTATAGACGCTTATCACCAAGCCTAAAGACCTGAGTTAGATCCTCAGAAACCCCGTGGTTGGAGGAAACACTGACTCTTGCAACTTGTTCTCTTGCCTCTGCACATGTGCTGTGGCTCGTGCTTACCTCAACTCACATACAAAATAAATAAAAATTGTAATTATTAAAAATTAAGCCAAAGATGGGCGTGGTGGTGCACACTTGTAATCCTAGCACTCAGAAAGGCAGAGGCAGGCAGATATCTGTGAGTTTGAGGCCAGCATAGACTATAAAGTGAGTTCAGGACAGCCAAGGCTATACAGAAAAACCCTGTCTCGAAAAACAAAACAAAACAAAAAGTCAGACATGGTTGCATGCACCTGTGACCCCAGTGCTGGAGAGTAAAAACAGATTATCTGAGGTTCACAAGCCACAAACCTCACTGGAAAATGTCAAGCCTCGGGTTCAGCAAGAGCATCCTCCTTGGATTACAAGTATGCATGTACACACACATTCTTGTTTTAAATTTTAAGGGACTAAAGCGAAGAAAGGAAAAATGGGTAGTTAGATGGATGGATAGATGGGTGGGGTTGGTGGGTGGGTGGATGGGTAGGTGAATGGATGAGTAGGTGAATGGGTGGATTGACAAATGGGTAGATGAATGGGTGGGTGGATGGGTAGGTGACTAGATGGGTGAGTGAATGGATAGATTGACAGATGGGTAGATGAATGGGAAGAGAAGTAGAAGGTGGGGGAGTGGTAGGTGAATGTTAGGTAGATGAATGATTGGGTGATTGAGTGGATGGATGGGTGGATGGGTGGATGGGTGGATGGATGGATGGATGGATGGATGGATGGATGGATGGATGAATAAGCATGGATAGAAGGACTTGAGTGGTGAGGCATCAAGAAGAAGAGCTATACACCCAATGTGACTCAGCCATCAACACACACTCCCCTGCATTGGCAAACTGCACGCACAGTCATCCTTCATAGCACACCCCTTCTGTTGCCTTTCTGTGCCCAACCCAGGCAAGGTGATGCTACTGACCCAAGGATGGTTCCGCTCCACTCCCTGCCCACAGGTGCTCCTGGGTAGGGTGGGAAAGGGAAGGAGATGCCCACGCAAGCCAAAGGTAGAGGGTGTGCCCAGTGCTAAGAGCCACAGAGGAAAAACTACTAGAAGGCAGAAGAGGCTTCCTAATGGAAGCGGCACTGAAAGCAAGATGATGGGATAGTCAGGATAGTCCCCTTTCTTGGGCTTAGAATCCAAGTTAAACTAGTCAGGAGTCTTACTGACACCTGATCTGGTCAACTGCCGCCTGGCTCATATACCTGCCAATGGCCCTAGCACCCAGGATACAGCGCAAGCCCATCCGCTTTTCAGTCCAGTTTCTGCTCAACTCTCAGTCTCATCTCCCACTTCCCTGTGACTCAGCCTCCACTCCATTTAACCCAGAGCACCTGAACTCCATTAGTACCTTCCCACATTGACACCTCCGGATTGACAAGCCTCTCTGCCTTGAACTCTACTCCTGTCTAACTACTACACATCCTTCAAAGCCTGGCTTTAGTGACCCCTTTCCCAAGAAGCTCTTCTCCCCGACCCCGGTGAACCTTTGCTTTCCCATCATCTGTCCCCTCCCTGGCCTATTGTTTTTCTTCATTGATGGTCCCGTTAGAAGGGAAAGCTGGCTCTACCAGGTGGGTAAAGCCACTTCAAAGGAAAGGGCTTCAAAAAGACTCCTCCCACATGGTGTCCTGCTCAGAAAGGCTCTTACACACTAAACTGTGCTTAGCCCATCGGCCTGGAGTCAGACTCCAGCCTTGTCACTAATTGTTACAGAAACCTAGACAGTTAATCACTCTGGCCTTCCACCCCACTTTCTTTATTCTTTTTTTAATTACATTTACTTGTTCAAGTGGGTGTGCGTATATGTGTGCCAAGCAAGGGAGGCTGGTGGAGGTCAGAGGATAACTTGCTGGAGTCGGTTCTCTCCTTCAATCGTGGGGGTTCTGGGATCAAACTCAGGTCGCCAGGCTTGGCAGCAAGCACCTTTCTTTCCATCCTGTCACATGTCAGAGGCTCTTTAAATCTGTGTTAAACATGTGTCAGTGACTGATGAACCAACAGTTGGCAGATTCGTTGCTCTGATTACAGTTACCACTTATTGGTAGCAATCACTTATGAGATGACCACTTGGGAACCCTGTGAGTGAACAATGAATGCACGACCACTGTGGAGAACATAGGACTCATGAGTATGGCTCAGTAGGTAAGACACTTGCCCCACAAGGGTGGGGACCTGGGTTCAGATCTCCCGGAGCCATTTAAGGCCAGACAGAGTAGTACTCCTGCAATGAGATGGGAGGTGGGGACAGTGAAGGCCCCTGGCCAACAGCAATGAACAAGAGACCCTGGACCCAAAAGGTAACTCAGCAGATAAATGTGCTTGCTTCTAAGCCCCACACACATACATGAAAACATGCATACACGAGTAAAAATTAATAAAATATTAAAAGCCAAATATAGGACTAAAGAGACAGGGTTCATTAGTAGAGTGTTTGGCTACTATGCTCAAGGCCCTGGGTTCCACGCCCAATATCAGGAAAAGAAAAATAGAGGAAGGCTGGTGAGATGGCTCAGTGGCTAAAGGAACCTGCCACACAGGCCAAACAGCCTGAGTTTGATCCCTGAGACCTACATGGTAGAGGGAGGACTGATTTCCACAAACTATCCTCTGACCTACACACACACAAAGAGAACTAGTAAAAATAAATCTTATTTTTAAAAAAGGAAGGTATAAAGGGACAAAAAAAAAAAAAAAAAAAGCAGGAGAAGGGGGATTCGAGAGTGCAGCCCTGAGTGTGGATTTCACGGCAGCCAGCAGGTAAGTAAATAAATAAAGTTTGATCCATCTACACAACAAATCACAAAAAGAGCACAGCAGCAGTCTGGAGAGTGGTGGGGATGAGCCAGGAAGGTAAGAGGCTGACCGAGAGAACCCAGACACCGGAAGGTCTGGAGCATCAACTCCACGTAGACAGACCGCAGGTTGTGGGAGCCAGGAGGTACAGCGGGGAGGAACCAGAGGCAAAATAACCTCACAGCACAAGCTACCTGTGGGAAAGCTTTGCAACTGGAGAGAGTGAGTTGTTGCACAACCTTGTGGACACACTCAGTCATCACTGACGGTTCGCCTAATTATAACGCACTATAGGCTGGGTCGGTTCTTCCTCAATAAAGAAAGAACACAGCGTGGGGGGAGGGGCATCCCGCACAACAGCGTCAGCGTCAGGTAGGCAGGAGGAGGGGCAGGAGGGCCCACACCCCTCTCCAGGCTGACTCAGCTCCACTCAGTCCCTCTCAGCTGTCCATCCTGCTCCTCCCGTGAGGGCAGCCAGAGCTACAAACCTGAAAGGGAAGGAAAGAAAGTGGAGGGAACCAGGCCTATTTCCCACATGCCTGAGCACAGCTGAGGCTCTGTTTGGAGAATTACTACCAATCCAGGAACTTGATGATGGAAGATAGGAGAAGGAGAAGTGTCAGGGAGGAAGGGAGAGGTAAAGAGAAGAGGAAAGGCAGAGAGAAAGGAAAACTGATGAAGCGGCTCTGAGGGTAAAGGTGCTTGCTGCCAGGCCTGAGGGACGCAGCTCCACCCTGAGGGCTCCCAGTGTGGAAGGACACAACTGCCTTCCACAATTTTGTGGATATTTGTACACACACACACACACACACACACTAAATGTAATAACAAAATTTTTAAGGCACAAGAGAGCACAAGATGACCAGCTCCAGGCAAGGTCGTGCTGAGGATCAACTTCAAGAAAACGAGAGCTGCAAAGACACACCCGTCCTGAAAAATTAGGACTGAGGACAGTGTAACTAAAAGCCAGAGACCCCTGAGGGACCAAGAAAGACTTCTTGGAGAGGAAGGCCTTGGAGCTGGGTGCTGAGAGGGAATGAGCACTCACCCAGCACACTTGCGAAAAGTGGAGACGGCAAAGCGAGGTATGACAGCCGCCTCCCTGCCAGCCAGCTGCCCACTGGGGCACTGAAATGCTTGCTCATGGTGGGTAGTTACAGTCTTAATGCAGGGGCTGCCACGGCCTACAAATGACTGAGGGACGCTTACTTACCAAAACCTCGGCTGAATGAATGGCTTAAATGTGACTTCCAGCAGGCGCGAGGCCTTGCCAAGTTCCTGAAACTCTCACACACTGTCACGCTTCTGCCCACGTTGTTCTCACAGCCTGATTGCCTGACACACTTTAGTGAACTTCTACCCATTCCTCAAATTCCTACTCAAGAAACACTTCCTTTGGCGCACCCGCATATCTGTAACCCCAGGAAGTGTTGTGGGAGTCTAAAGTTGAGTCGTCCCTCTGAGGTCCAACCTGCCTACCTGAAGCACCCAACACAGGCTTGATGTAATCAGGATGGACAAGCACCAAGAGAGGCAGGAAGGGTCCAACCCATGCTAGGACAATGTGGTGCAAGGAATCCAGCACTTTCTTCTCGTTCTGAAGGCCCTTCTCATTGGGGAGATACTGTGGCAGATAGAAAGGAGGAAATGAAGACATGACAACTCAGCTTATTCTCTCCTTCTCTCCCTCTGTCCCTTCTTCCCTCCCTCCCTCCCAGTACTGCCTCCCAACCTCAGGACACCGAAGATGTGGTCTCCTCCCTTTAAAAGAAGGAAGAACAATAGGGCTGGGGGATGTTGCTCAGGAATTGAGCCCCTAACTAGAATCCCCAGTGAAGGTTTGGGGACAAGCCTGGAGGGCAGAACTCTAGTATGCCTAGTATGTATGAAAGCCTGGATTCCAAAGCCAGTAAAGCAGAGGGAGAGAAACAGATAGTAATAAAGTTGACATCAATCAAATACTTGATATATGTCACATGGACAGCCAAGAAGACGTGAGGGATTGCCCAGCTCTGACTTGCCCGATACTATTTGTGGGGGGAATAATTATCTTTATTGTTAATTGCTGTAGGAGGGTCCAGCCCACTGCGTTCAGTAGCACCCCTGGGTAGGTGGCCCTGGACTGTATGAGAAAGCTCCCCCACACATAGGAAGCAGGCCGGTAAGCAGTGCTTCTCTGTGGTTTCCACTTCTGCTCCTGCCCTGACTTCCCTCATGGTGAACTTTGACCTGAAAGTGGAAATCAAATAAACACTTTCTTCCTCTAAGTTGCTTTGGGTCAGAGTATTTTATCACAGCAAAAGAAAGGGAAAGTAGAATACAGTGTTAGTAAAACAAACAAACAAACTCTTAAGCCATTTATAGTGGCAAATGTCTGCTCTATCAGCACTCAGCAGGTAGAGGCAGGAGGATCAGAAATTCCATATCTTCTCTAGCTACTGCGAAGGTTTGAGAGCAGACTGCTATCTGAGTTCCCTAGGGCAGGGAGGGTAGAGAAGCGTGTGCTGGTCATGAGAGTGCATGTAACCCCGCCCTCAGGAAGATAAAAGCACTAGTAGCTCGGGTTACACACTGAGACCCTGTCTCAGCACAGACGGCTCCCTGCAGAAACGCTTTTGGAGATTAGCGAGAAAATTCATCTGGAAGATAAAGATATTTGGACAGAGGACACAATCTGACAAAGGATCAGAGTAGGAGGGACATGAGAAACAGGAAGTTGGTTCTGTATTCTGCAGGGGGATAGTGGGACGTGTTAGGAGGAGGTTAGGGTTCCCAGTCCAAAAGGCTTCCTCCAGATCAGTGGTTCTCAACCTTTCTAATGCTGCAACCCTTTAATGCAGTTCCTTATGTTGTGGAAACTCCAACCATAAAATTATTTTTGTTGCTATTTCATAACTGCAATTTTGCTATAAATCATGATGTAAATAGCTGTGTTTTTCAATGGTCTTAGGCAACTCCTATTAAAAGATTCATTCTACCTCCAAAGGGGTTGCGACTCTTGGGTTGGGAACCACTCCTCTACACAGTAATGAGGAGCCACGGTGGTGTGTGAGCAGGAGAGGGTTATGATTAGACCAGAATTTCTCCGGGGAGTTAGAAGATAACAACTTCAAGGCCAGCCTAGACACAAAAGACAAGGTCTTCCTATGTTGCCCAAGATGAACTCCTGTGTTCAGGTGATCCGTCCTAACCCGCTTCCTGAGTAACGGGGACCACAGGTTTGTGTCACCGTGCAAACTAACCTTATGTCTTGAATGGGTCCTGGGTGGCCCTAAGCGGGGGTTCTCCCCATTATTTTAAAGAGACACTTGCTGCCTCAGGCCTGGTTGCTCACAACTGAACTCTCAATACTCATGAGGCTGAGGAAGAGGATTCACTGTGAGCTTACATGTGGCTTCTAGGCCAGGCTGAGCTGCAGAGTGAGACTCTGTCTCAAAGTAAAAATAAAAAAACAAACCTGGGTAAGTCAAGCATGCGATCTATGTCTAATCCCAGCACTCAAGAGGCTGAGGCAAGAGGCTTGTGAATTTGGGTTAGTGTAGCCTACATGACAAGACTCTACTTAAAAAAAAAAAAAATTACGTTCAAGGAGAGAGTTTGAATCCCAGTGTAGTATTATAGTGTTCCAATAACAAGAGTAGCCAGGTATGATGGCACATGCCTTTAATTCCAGCATTTGAGAGGCAGAGGCAGGCGGATCACTGTGAGTTCAAAAACCAGCCTGGTCTACCAGCAGGTTCTAGGACAGCCAGGGCTACATGGAGAGACCTTGTCTCAAAACAAACAAAAGGGCAAGAGTAGACCCACCCTGACAGGTAAGGTTAAAGAAACAAACTCTTTAGGAGCCCCCTCCTTGCCCCAACTCCGGGCCCTGGAACCCAAATTTTGTGGGTATCAGTATTCCCCTGCTTCACTGGTAGCTACAGAACTATAGAAAGATCTTTGTGGGTTTTTTATCTTTTTATTTTATTTTTTAATAATTTTCTTATTTCATGTGCATTGGTGTTTTGCCTGCATGTATGTCGGTGTGAAGGTGTCGGATCTTGGAGTTACAGAGAGTTGTGAGCTGCCATGTGGGTGCTGGGAATTGCTGAGCCATCTCTCTGGCCCCAGGTTGTGCAATTGGTTACGCTCTTAACTGTCATGCCACCATGGCACCCGTGGATACATCTTGCCTGGTAGGTCTTCATGGTAACAGTCAGCTCTGAGTAAGAGCGCAGATGTTACCATTCAGCCCCCACGCCCACCCCGGTGCCTGCATTGAAGCTTCCAGCGCTCTGAAAGCTAGCCAGCCGACATGACTCTATAGTCAGCTCTGCCTCCCAACTGTGTGATTCTGGGGAATCGCTCCACACGGTGAATCAGCTTCTAACCCAGCCTGCCCGGCCCTGCCCCTGCACACTCACCATGCTTATATGGCCCAGCAGCCAGTGGCGGCCAGGAGGCTCTGGGAAGCAGCTTAGCCTGCGGCAGGTGACACGGAAGTCCCAGCACAATTTGAATACCTGCAGCAGCAGGCGGAAGAGGAAGAAGAGGAGGGATAGCAGCAGGGCTGACACAGCATACACTCGGAAGGCCGTCTTCTCCAGCCCCAGCAGGCGCAGCAGGCAGTCCGTGATGGGCAGCATCCTAAGAGACACGTAGGCACCATTCAGCGCAGGCGGGAAGGGACCAGCCTGCCCGGGTCACAAACAGGAAGCTCCTCAGAGGCTCTCCCTGCCTACCCACCATCTTCACTTTGCCAGCACATACATCTTTCTTTCAAAACAAAACACGACTGGGGCCGGGCCTTGGTGCCACATACCTTTAATCCCAGCAGAAGTCTCAGAGGTCAACACTAGCCTAGTCTATATAGTGGGTTCCAGGACAGTCAAGGGTACACAGAGAAACCCTGTCTCAAAAAAAAAAAAAAAAAAAAGGAAAAAGAAAAAGAACGTTTAAAAGGAGTTTGTGTTTAATTATGCATATATGTGGGGTGAAGGGGTCATGCTTGTGGAGTGAGGTGCCTGTAGAGGCTAGAAGAGTGCTTGGGGGTTACCAGGTGTTATGAGCCACCTGTAATGGGTGCTGGGGGCCTCAGATTCAAGTGCTTTTAACTGCTAAGCCATCTCTCCACCCCTACTTTCCCCCCCTTATTTTCTTTTCTATTTGTTTGTGTGTTTATTTATGTTTGTTTATTATTTCTTTTGCAGACAGGTGCTCTAAGCTCCCTCCATATCTCCAGCCCCAGGGAACCCTCCTGTCATAAGGCTTTCTGTGCCTGAGCACAGATGGTCAGAGACCTGGGAGGCAGCACACATACACACGAAGTAGCCCTCAACCAATGGCCCAAGGGTCTTAGAAAGTCAACACTCCAGCTCTCACTGGCCCCCACTGTGTGCGTGTGTGTATGTGTGTGTGTGTGTGTGTGTGTGTGTGTGTGTGTGTGTGTGTGACAGCACTGAGACATGTATGCTCTGCAGAGTTCCCAGCAGGATTAACTCCAGCAGCCCAAAGCAAGAACTTTTCTGATTGGCTTTCTCCCTTCCCTCTCTTACTCTCTCTTCTCACTTTTTTTATTTAAAGTGAAGATTCACATGAGATACAACATCACTTTTCTTAACTTTTGGAAATGTATGTGTTTAATTGTGTATGTGTGTCTTGTGTGTTTAATGGTGTATGTGTGTCTTGTGTGTTTAATGGTGTATGTGTGTCTTGTGTGTTTGTGTATGTGTCTTATGTGTGGGTATGCCCACTCTTGTGAAGGTGCCTTCAAAGGCCAAAAGCAGTGGGTCCCCTGGGGCTGGCACTCTGAGCAGCTGTGAGCCACTGGGTGCTGGGAACAGAACTCCCCTCCTCAGTAAGAACAGTACACACCTTAACCACTGAGCCATCTTCCTAACCCCTCGAATGCCATTTTTAAATGAGCAATTCATACAACAGAGTATTAATTTAGCCACACACACACAAAAAAAAGAATAGTCTGTTGTTTTGGCCAAAGAGATACTGGAAGACATCAGTTAAGTAAAAATAAGTCACTCGTCTTTCTTCCATTGATTCACTGATTGAAACAGTGTCTTACTATGTGGCCCAATCTGACCTTTAACTCTCGGTATGAAATGATACTGTGCTTCAGCCTCCTAAATAGATGGGACTGAAGGTTCGTGCCACAACACAGGGCAAAGGAGACAAGTCAAACACAGGAAAAAAAATGACAATCCAAGCATGGTAGCGCATGCTCATATTCCCAGGACTCAGGAAGCTGAGGCAGGAGGATTACAAGTGAGACCACCCTGGGCTGCACAGCTAAAAAGAAGGGCACACATATTCTCTCTCATATGCGAATACACTTTTTAAAGTTCATTGAAATACAATAGTGATTATTTAAAGTCTGAGAAAGATGCTGAGCTTGGAGGCAAAAGCTGACAAACCCCTGATCCTAAGAAGACTAAGACAAGAAGGTTAAAAATTCCAAGGTCTGAGGGGCTGGAGAGATGGCTCAGTGGTTAAGAACACGCCGTGCCCTTCCAGAGGACCAAGTTTGGTTCCCAGCGCACCACCTCAAGCAGCTCACAAACACTTCCGGAGGATCCAACACCCTCTTCTGGCTTCCTCAGGCACCTGTATATGTACATATCCACATATATACACACATAAAAGGGAAAGAAAAGAAGTTACACCCAAGGTTTGTTCGGCTCACACAATAGGTTTCAGGCCAGACCAACAAAGACTTAATGACATTCCGTCTCAAAATAAAAAGAAAACAGTGTGTCTGGAAGCCAAGTGTGGCGGTGTATGTCTGAAATCTCAGCACCTGAGAGGCTCAGGCTGAGACCACCCCGGGCTGCAGAGTATGTGCCAGGCCAGAACTGCCTCAGAGTGGATCCTGTCACAAAAATAAGCACTTAATAAAAATTATGACATTAATAAGGAAGTAAGGCTTTAGTGGCATTTAGCACTTTCACCGTGCTGTTCGATCGTTGCCTCTGTCTAGGGCACTTGGATGAGAAAAACACCCAGTGCCCCTTAGCCGTCGCTTCCCCATCCTCCTTCCGTGCAAAATTTGTCATCTACTGATCTTCCTCCCTCCCTTCCTTCTTTTCTCCTCTCCTTTTTAAATCTGTTTTTGAGACAGGCATATAGCACAGGCTAGCCTCAGGCTCACTGTGTAGCTAAGGCTGGCTCTGATCCTCTTGCAGGGCACTGCCTCCTAAGTACTGTGGAGAACATGGTGGGCCATCCCACCCAGGTCGCTTGGTGCCTGGTGTACCTCGTGATTCTGAGGGTTTGCCTGGCTTATGCCAAGTTGAGCCACACTGGCAGGGACCCTCACTGTGATGTTTGTACTGCTGAGGAGCAGCCCATTACCTGGACAAGCCGCGCTCTGGTTCACCCACTCATCTGCTGGCGGACATTGGGTCTGTTTCCGTCTCTAGGGATGGGAAACGCACTATTCTTGTTCATGTGCATATGGGTTCCTTTGTACCTGCCTTCAGCTCTCTTGGCTTTCTTCTTTCTTTACTGGTATTTGCTGAAGTTGTTCTCAGATAAGTTACTGGTGCTCCTTGACTTAGGGTCTGCTCCTGAAGGAAATAAGGCAGAAGCGTGACTAGAAGAGTGAGCAGCGATACGGCACTCTCCACGCACAGCACCAAACACCACAGGCCAGTGAAGACATTGTCTCCGGCAGCCCTCCACACAGCAGGAGGTTGCCTTTCAGCTCTGTTCCTCCAAGTCAAGGAAGAAATGAGTCCCAACGACACGTGTCAGCTGTAGAGTGTCTGCCTGGAGTGCCCCAGAGAGAGGCTGGGGGTGTGGCTCGGGCGCGGTGTAGACCTTCTCCCTAGAACCGTTCCCCCAAGGGCTAAGATATGTCAGGGCAGAGCGCTGGCTCAGCATGCCCAAAGCCCTCAGGTTACTTCCTAGCACTGAATCAATACAGTAGAATAAAATAAAATGCAGTTCTGGCGCTGAAGTGGAGAAACTGGAATCTGTGGGCGCCACGGAGGAGAACGTGAAGAGTCCAGCCGCTTTGGAAAGCACTCCAACCGCTCCTTTGACAACTAGGCAGAAGGGGGTGTGCGGTGGTGTCTGCTCTTCTTAGCACTCCGCAGGTTGAGGCAGGAGGATCGGGAGGGCGAGCCCATCCTCAGCTACTAGGCTAAACTAAACTAGACCTTATCTTTTTATTAAAGACACATGCATGCATGTACACACACACATGCACACTCATGCACACTCACACACACACACACACACACACACACACACACACACACCTAATATAGAACTAGAATAACATAACCCAGCAAGTCTACCTCTGGGTGTCTATCCAGATGAAAGACCTCAAAGAGTTATTTGTACAGCTTGTCCAAAAAAGCACAAACCGCCCTACCTGTGGACAGGTGACTGGATGAGGAAGAGACGGTATATGCACACTATAGAATGTGAATCAGCAAAGACCAGGAAGGGGAAGTCAGGCATGTGCTCTGATACAGGTGAAATAAGCCCACTGCAAAAAGATCAGTATTAACTAGACATCATAGCTCATGAATCTAACTCCAGCCCTCAGGAGGCTGAGGCAGGAGGATCGTGCACTCAAGGTCAGCCTGGGCTATCTAGTGAGACTCTTGTCTTGTAAAACAAACAAGAAACAAACAAGCGGAAAACCAGCACGATAGTGCTGCTTTATTTATAGAAAGATAGATTGAGTCATTTGAGGTTGTGGAGATGGAAGCAGCGTGGAGATTCTGGGTGCAAGAGAGAGCCACGTGCTGAGTGTGCGGCGGGGACAGCGTGGAGGTGGCTGCACCACGTGGCGAATGTTCTGTGCTTCCGAGCTATGCCCCAAACAGTTCCAAAGGAAAACCTTCAGTGGACTGTGTTCTGCCACCGTTTACAGCTGTTTATTGGGCTGGGTCAGTGGGTGGAAACTTGCTTTGAAAACCTGATGACCTGAGTTTGATCCCCAGGTCCCACCGTGGAAGAAGAGAATCTGCTACAGCAAGTAGTCCTCTGCCGGTTCACGCAGGAGCCCCGGGAAAATGCACAAACACAAAATAAATGTAATGAAATTGAAAATAAATAGAATTAAACAAACAAACGAACCAAGTGTGACTATGTGAGCCCCTAACCCCAGTGTTGGGGGACAGGGACAGGCACAGGGCTGGAAACGGGCATAATGACAAACTCCAGGTTCAGGGAGCAACCCCACCGCAAGGGAAGGAAGTAGAGAGCAGGACACCTGAAGCCCTCCTCGGGCCTCTATATGCACTCACCAGCACTCAGGCGCCCACACACACAGTCACACACACATGCACGCGCCCACACACACAAGTGTAGACCAGGAGGAGCAGGCGTGTTCCCTCTGGAAGGCCCTAGGACAGAAACAGAGCGAGAAGTGAGCGACTTCCCAAACTGAACACAGTGGTTCCGAGTCTCCAGTCCCAGGCAGCTGCTCAAAAGTAGCCATGGTAGCTGGGCAATATGGCTCACACCTGTAGTGCCAGCACTCCGGAGGAAGAGACAAGTTATCACTCTGAGTTCAAGGCCACCCTAAGCCTCAGTTACAGAGTGAGACCCTGTACCAAAAAACGAGCAAAAAAAGGTTTGAGCCTTTAGCTCAGGTGTTATAGTGCGTGCCTAGGGT